CGGCTGGAATATGGGTCGGAACCCTATCCGCACACCGCTGCAAATCCCAAATCCCTCTCTCGATTTCTTGCCGCCAGCGACCTCAATCTCCCTCGATGTGGCGCGAAATGTGGTTGGCGGGTTGCATCGCCGATGGTGGCGCCGAGCAGAGGCGGCGCGTCACCGCCGACGGCGCGAGGTAAAGGGCCGCACAAAAGTACACAAACCGCGAGCTCTGTCGCCGCTGTCGCTCCTCCACCGCGAGGCGGAGGAATACGACCGTAGGCAGGCGCACCTCCGCCGCGGACTGTACTTCGGCTCCTCCGCCGCGAGACGGAGGAGTACGACCACAGGTAGGCGCTCCTCCACCGCGGGTTGTCCTCCGGCTCCTCCACCGTGGGAAGCTCCTCCGGCGGTGCCTTGAGCTCCCGTACGCTGCTCACCCCGGTGAAAAGGGAGCCGGAGGAGCTTTCGCCGCTCCGAGCGGTGAACATGGAGCTCAAGGCGGAGCCGGTGCGACGGGGGCGGTGGCGTCGTCGGGCCGAAGGATTTCCTTCCCTCGGTGGAGGCGGATGCGATGGAGGTCGCCATCCTCGCGCGCAGTGCGCGGGAGGAGGAGGTGGTGGTGTAGCTCCGCCGCCGGGAGGAGGAGATCAACGACGTCCTGTTCGAGCAGGGCCTCGCCAGGGCGCGCGAGTTCGAGGAGAAGGAAGAGGCGTGGCGCCACGACGCTAAAGCGTGGGACGCCAAGTACATCGACCTCACCTCCAACACAGATGATGAGTGATCGCCGCCACTACCGCAGTGGTGCCGCCACACCCGTAGGGCTCACCAGTGAGCCCCATTTAGGCTAGTTTAGGGTTAGGATAGGCCGACGTGCTTTCTGCTGCCGATGAACTATATGTATGTATGTACGGTCATCTCTTATATGTATGTATGAATGATCATCTCTAGTGTTTCTGGTTCATTTCTCGCATGAAACTTTTTTTCAAAATTTTATAGTTTCATCTACCCTTTTTTGGTCGGCCGTAGACAAATTCACCCCTTATATCACGTTCGACGCGAACCGTAAACCCCTTATAAGGGCTAGCCTTATAAGGGGTCTGCTAGAGATGCTCTAATATCTTAGATTGACGAAGTCATCATAGACGCTTTGTAATCAACGAAAACGTCTCCACACATTGAACAAATAGAGTTGTTTCAATACAGAGCGGCTCTCAACCATTCTACAATCATGAAATTGCTCGATGACATACATCTTGCTTCCAACATCGCTTGCGGCAAATTTAGATTCTGGCGCCTTCCACAAGTCCTTGCAACCCGCAAATGTAAAAAAGAAAAATAAGAAGACTTGGCGAGGCGGTAGACGTAGAGCGAGCGGTGGACCTTCGGCCGCTGGCTGATCCACTTCTCTCTGACCTGCGGGTAACGAACCAAACCATGGCGACTTGTTGTTCTCTCTCATTGCCCCTCTCTGTCAGGCGATGCAGAGTCAGGCAATGAACCACAAAGGAGGCGGCAAGCAACGGTGATTGATTTGAATTAAAGTAATTGGGATGACTCGCGGTAGCGGGCCGTGGGCCATGTAAGTGTACTGGTACCCGTGTGAGTGTCGAGAGCCTGATATAAGCTCACCCATGTAGCTGTCTGGCATTATTGAACAATATCCTAAAATGGAATAGTTCTCTTCCCCTTTCCGTGTTCTGTTTCTCCTTCTCTGAGCTTATTCTTCCCCACACCGCTACCTACTCCCGGTCCTCAATCCTAGGATTTACCTCGAGGCAAGGACACGACAGTTGGTATCAGATTGCCTCTTTGATCTGTTGATCCTCGCTTCCTCGAGATCGGACTGTAACATCGACTGATTGGTTGCACGGCCGGTCCGGTGGCCGTCTATAAATTCGAGATCGGTGTTTGTCCAATTTCAGAAAGGGTGACAACGGCTCCCTTCAAACCTAGCGCTCAGACGCATCATCTTGTGGAAATCATGGCGACGTTCGAGGACCGTGTGCTGAAGGAGCTGGCGGCTCTCAAGGGTATCGTTGAACAAGTCACGCGCATCGACGACATCAATGCTCGACTCGACGGCCTCGACATGAAGTTCTCCAAGAAGGTGTAGTGCCTGGATCATGTACAAGCTAAGGTCGATCTCTCAGTCACTTCAATTGGCGAGGTCCACCATGAGCAGGGTCATGTGGCGCACGTGATCAAGGAGTCCCATATCACGCAGGATCCGGATCTGGATTGGCTCGCGCAGGCAGGTTGCTATGAGGCATCACTGACAGCAGCACAAGCAGGTTCGTCTGCCCAAGTTCCACCACCACTTTGTCGCCCGTTTGACCCGGGTCAATCACCCCGCCCTCGATATGAGTAGACTTCAAAACGGTTGTGGATGCCGAAAATGGAGTTTTCGCGCTTTGATGGTGATGGAGTGAGCATGTGGTTAGATAATTGTGAGGTGTGTATTTCGAGTTATACCAAATTCCTGATGGATTCAAGATCATATCCGTGTCGTTGCATCTGCAAGGCAATACAGCTCACTGGTATCAGGCGTGCAAACATACTGACGCTTGTGCAAATTGGCCACGGTTCAAAACATCAATTTTGTAGGAATTTGATGTCAATATCCATCGCAATTGCCTGTGTTGGGGATATAACTCCTAGGTATGACCCGTCCAGAAGGGGCTGGGTCATGCCATCAGCGACTTAAGCATGAAGCTGGTGGTTCATGGATCAAGCTTGTTGAAGGCCCAAGGCCCGAAGGTGACTCAATGCCCAGAAAGATGAGCCGCCATATGTTTAAATTGTTTTGTAAGGCAAGTTTAGTTAGAAACCGAGCCAGTCATGTTTGTGTGAGCCGGTCGGGATTCTGTAAGCCGCCGGGCATCAACCTGTATATAAAGGGGTGACCCGGTGGCGGGTTAATTCAGGAAAACAATCGGTCGAGTACTAGGTCGAGCGTATTCGCTCCCTGGTAATCGAAACACAAGCAATGCAACCGAAAGCAGGAGTAGGCTTTTACCTCATTGAGAGGGGCCAAACCTGGGTAAACTCTTTGTGTCCTTTGTCCCGTTGAACCCCTTTAAGCTAACCTAGCTGCGATGGCTCCACACCTAAGTCCTTTTGCTAGGGCATCTGCCGTGTCAAATCCACACGACAGTTGGCGCCCACCGTGGGGCCAGAGCACGGTGGTTTCGAGTTCTTGAAGGGTGGATTCTCAAGGATCAAGGGATACACCGTGGGCCGGATGACCAAGAGTCGCCGCGGCAAAATCTACATCGATGATGCAGGATGGGGTCATGAGGCCGATTCAATCAAATACGGGTACTGGGTCCCCTTCGGCGGAATCCATGTCTTCATCGGCAAGATCGGCGAGTCAGAGCCTGAGCCGGACACCTGCACCAACATTATCGAGACGGCTCAGCGCGCGCGACCCGCCAAGGTTCAAGCCGCCCTGAAGCATGCTTTTGTGGGTTTTACTCAAGGAGTGGATCTTGAGGGAGGATCTGTGTCCGGTGGAGAGACGTCCATTTACTCTGGCGATGAGTCCTCAACCCGTGAGACCAATTCCATGTATCAATTGCAAGATGATAGGCTGGGGGCCATTCCGATGGCCACAATATTTTGGACCCCTGTGAGCCACCGAACAGGGTTGCGATCTTCATGGTCGGCACGCAACAGGTGCAGAATTCATCAACTGCGGCAGCAATGATCTCCGGTTCAGCGGCCGCTACGGCAGCCGGGGCAGGAGGCCCTGTGCACCCGCCGGCTC